CCCACCCACCCATCGGCATCCGACAGTGAGTTTAGCGCATCCGATCTCATTCCGTTGGCACGTTTCCGCGAAACATCACCTGCCGCACCCACCGGCGACGATTTCCTTGGCCAAGGAATCCAGCCAGTGGTGCCCAGCCAGGAAACAACCACCTACGAGGTGCATACTACAGGTTCGCGAGCCCATGTATCCACTGAAACGTCCACGGACATCGAGACCGGTCACGTCGCTCAGACACTGCCCGACGACCGAGAGCACTCGAATGTTATGCTCAGAGAGCGCACCACTACAGCGCCCCTGTGCACGCCCAAATCGGCGCAACGCGTGCATGTAGCAACCCTATCACCGCAAGGTATATCGCCGCATTCTCCCAATGACGACCCCGCCCGTGGTACCACAATCCGACAACCCGCCCCGCCAGCCACTATACCCGCGCCACCTTCGCATGCAGATATATGCGCGATCGCAAGCCGTCCCTACGCGGCAGAAGCCCGCATGATGCACGCCATTCAGCCTGTCTCCGCGCCTTTCCAACGCTCGCCCCTTAACAGCGCATGGCACACACTATGGCACACACTCTATGGCTCACGAGGCCACACGTGGCAATAGGCCACGACTAAACCCCAGCCATAATGCCCACCATAGGTTCCATTCAACTCGTATCCTTCTTCCTTCCAGGTACGTTGCGATTTGCGCTATCGCCATGACCATCGCTAAGGCCGAAGTTTTTGTGCCACGAGGGAGCCTGTCGGTCACCCAAAGTTCTTGGACCATCGTTTTCTCCCTCGACCTCGCACCGATTAAAGCCTACATGCGCGGCATAGACGAACAAATTCAATATTTGTTCCACGACCCCGCCTCACGGACTCGTCGCGCCGAACTGCAACCCGACCAACCTACCCTCAACCCGCCCAGCTCCCTCCGCCGCGACCTCCAGCCTCCGTCCGACCGCTTCGCCACCCAACACCCACGGTTGCCATCGACGACCCCACTCTCTCAACGTTATGGGTGGCCCGCTGAAGACATTCAGCGGGAAGCCGCCGACAACCTTGCCCGGCTCCGCAAGGGCCTGCATGATGCTAGTACACCCGCGACACAGCCACAAAAGCTCACCCAGCAGCGTAAATCTCAGAGCAAGTCCAACATGGCACGCTTTCGTGCCATGATCCAGGACGTCATCCACGCGCACGCAGCCGACTTCAATGCACGCTATCAGCGCCTAACAGACCGCATAACCGCGCTTACATCCATGTTTACTCGCCGCCGTAGTAAGCGTGCCTTACTGCCTTTTCTCGGAAGTATACAAAAGTTCTTGTATGGTGTAGCCACGGAGGACGACATTAACGCATTACAGGACAGGCTCGCACGCATGGAGACGACACATGGCGCTTTTCAGCACGCCCTTGAGGAATCCCTCACAGTCTTTAACCTCACCAAAACCCAGGTCCAACTTAATCACCATACGCTCAACCAACTCATCGACGGGGTTGACACAATGCGACAGTTCGTCAATAACATCAACGCCCGTCTCGTTACACTAACGGACGCAATTACTGCTCGCTTTTCACTCGTTACGCAATTGCAGACCACCTTCGATAAACTCATTCTTACATTGAACGATATAACGCTCATCGTCGCTGATATGGAACACGCACTAACTACTTGCCTGACAGGAAAGCTACCCATTTCCTTAGTCTCCCCCGCACAATTGCATGAAATCCTTCAGGAAATTAAACAAGTGCTGCCTAACTACCTGGCTCTTCCGAATGACATCGACCACAGCATCTTGTACTACTACAGTCTCCTCCAGACAGTCGTAGTCCCAGTGGAGGACTCATTTCACGTTATTACGTTTCTTCCACTTAAGCACGTCGGCCAAGTCTTTAACATATTCCAAATTTTTCCAGCGCCCGTCGTTATCAATGGCACAGTAGCCACCGTCTATTACAACTTCAATGCGGCATACATCGCCCTCGCACAAGATAAGACCCGCTACTTCTATCCTAGTTCCGGCCAGGTACGTGCCTGTCTTGACGATGCAGCCGGCATCTGCCAAGCCGAATCAGCTATTTACCCTGTCGCAGGCTCCACCGATTGCCCGCTAGCCTTACTTTTACACCACACCAGTAACATCGCCGCGCATTGTCAGCGTCAAATCACCATGCAAGCACACCCCCACCACTTTGTCGCGTACATTGGCAATGGACATTGGCTTATTTCCCCCGTGCATCCGTTTCGCTTAACCATCTCTTGCCAGATTACAAGCAATTACCCGCCCATCGTTACCGACGTCCAAATTACTCACCGCCA